AAAAATACACAAGTTATCACTATAGCAGATTTAGAGATCAGGTCAGAAAGTAAGCACTCCTCTGAAATGGTAGCTAAGGGAGCAGTAAAAAATTAAAGAATAAAAATAGTATGTGTTTAGGAGGGTAGAGGGTCTAAGAGTAAGGAAGAAAATCTCCATCTGTTTGGATCAGAATGATTACCATAACTACTCTCATAATTTAAAATGTAGCTGTAGCATCTCAAAAAAATAGAAATGTAATCCCATTTATTAGTCCATCAATTAAAATAACGGTTTCAAAGTATGGTCTGGGGATCTTTGAGGGTCCAGTAGGTCAAAACTATTTAATTCATCAAATAATACTAAGATGTTATTTAACTGTTTTACTCTTTCTCTCATGAGTATAATGTAGAATTTTCCAGAAACTACATGATGTCTGATAATGTAACAAACTGAATGCAGGAGGAGATGTAATGCCATGGCTATCTTGCATTAAGCTAGACATTAAAGAGATGTACAAAAAGGTTGAAGAATGCCACTTTTCTCACTAGTTCTTTTGTGTTAGAAAACAGTATATTTTCTTAAAATTGTATTTATGTTAACACATAATGAGTTTATTATTTTAAATATGTAAATGTTTTAATTTCTAATCTAATAAATATTGATAAATTTAAGAACATAAACAAGAGTACTTTGGAATCCTCAACAAATTATAAAAGTAAAAAAGAGTATTGAAATAAAAAAGTTTAAAAACCAGTCTTCAAAAATAAACTAAGTTAGTCTACGTAAAGAGCCAAACAGCTATCTGAAAAGCTACCTTCCCAGCCAAATATACAAATTTAAATTGTTTATGATATGGTACACTTTCAGTCATTCCACAAATAATGTACATTCATAATAAACAAGTTACTATGTTGAACATTCTCCTCTGCCTTAAAGCCATTTCAAAATCCACAGTGCTAAAAGGCTAGCTACAACACAGCTGGTCTCAGAGAAACCCTCCTGCCATTTGCCCACCTTCTTTCATGTTCTCTGCTCTCTTAATATTTCATTCCTTTTTCAGACTAACGTGACATCCTAAATATCCAACTATAAAATACAGTCCTTTAAACATTATTATAAACAAGTAAATATGAGCTTTATGATCTAGCAAACATATCATTGAAAAAGAAATTAGAAAGTTGGAATACTCACCAGTTGGACCTAAATTTCCCATTACACCACCTATGTTCAACTGGCTGGCACTAATAGGCTGGCCTCCTGGACCAAGTCCCATTCCAATGCCCCCAAGACCACCTGAAACACAATTAAGAATAATATTACCAGCCCATATATGATTAACTGGCACTAAATTTTTTTTAAAAAGCTACATGCCAGTAGTAGTATCTCTAAAATGTTGCAAATTTATAAATAAGAACACTGGTTTTTGTTTTTAGTGGAAGGCAGCACACTGAAACCATTTACAATTAATAAGTGTTTTATGAAGCAGGTCCATTTTATATCCCAATTAAAGACATACTGAAAAGGAATAATGAAATACCAAGAGGATTTTTAATATTACATCACCTTATAAGTGGCATACATATTTGAAAATGGGAATCTTGCTCGAATTTGTAAAACCACTTAAAATCTAGGAATTACTTTTAAATGGTTCAAATTAAACAAAAAAGTCAACTACCATGAAAACATAATATTGAATAAAGCAAATGTCACATTACCTAATTTAATCAATATAAGCATTTATTTACATGTCAGTGGTACTTTAAGTGTTTTCACATCTATTATCTATCCATAGTTGAGAAAATTTCTGAGACCTTAAGTTACTTGTAGGATGCCATTTAGCTATGTTAATTAAGAGTAGAATTAAAGTTTTCTATTTCTAAATTCAGCATTCTTTTTACTACTTCCCCTAAAATAAACTAAATTCATTGAAAACATACTTTAAGAAGATAATCAGATGACATTAAAGACAGAATTAATTAATATTTGAGTAGGAACTCTTTTATTCTACTTTTAAAGTTCTTGCTAGTCACTGTAGCAATTAGGGGTTGAGAAAATCTTATACCATATATATGTATATTTTTTAAAGTAGAGTACAGAAGTATGTTGTGTTAAATTGGAAAAATCAATTTGACCTGGTAAAGTATCTTTTTTCAGCTCAGTACCTCAAAATGGTCCAAATGAAAGCAATAGCATATTTGACCATCAACAATCTCATGTCTATACTTAGCACTCATATTGTCATCTGTTATCACTGTTCACTAAAAGAAACTAGGACTCCTTGAAAGTAGGTCAATCCCATGTCTTAGAACAAGAAAATCTTCATGGATCCAGGAAATCCTGTTTTTACCAAAAAGTGAGAATACCAAAGGCATATAAAATGAGGGGGCTCCCACTTGCCAAGTCATAATAATTTGAGTGAAGGGAGGGAGGGAGAAAGGAAAAACAGGAGGTTAATTATGATTAACATAACTAAACAGATTCTGTCAAAGTCTATGAGTTCATATCATACCTCAATTGAGAAGTGTATACAAACGTAAATCTCAAAAAGGACATAAGTATAAATGTAATAGAGGATTTATTTTTTATCTAAATAAATGAGTTTTAATAGTGGAAAAGTAAATTGGGAGCCCTTGCATAAAGCCAGGATCTTGAAAGATGACACCCTGAGTGACAAGGTAAACTTGGTGGAAGCGGGAAAAAACAGCCCTATAATGGAAGAAGGGAAGCGGGAAAAAACAGCCCTATAATGGGAGAAGGGGCAATATTCAAAGACACATGTGATAAGAATTTTCCAGTTTATTTTTTTAATGAATTATCAGTTCATGAAAGCCCAATAAATATTAATCCACACCCACACTGTGGTAAAATTGCATACCAAAGACAAATATCTTAAAAACAGCTACATGAAGACCACAGCTAATCTATAAAGAAAGGACAATTCAACTGATAGTTGACTTAATAGCAACAATGGAAGCCAGAAGACTGTGGAATATTTTCAAATCACTGAGAGAAAATAACTACCAACCTTAAACTATATAACCAGTGAAACTATCTTTAAAGGTATTTATAAAAAACCGAAACTGAGAGAATTTACTAACAACAGATCCTCAATGAGAAAGCTTTTATAATATAGGCTTCAGGGGAAAAAAATAGTGCCAGGGTCTATGAAAGCAGAGAAATAATAAGACAAAAAGTGGTAAATAATAATAATGCTTGATTCATGGGATTGAAAAAAGCAATACAGAACTAAAACACTGAGCAACAATAGTACATAAATCAGTAGGAAGTGATTAAAATTAAAATATTCAAAGGTCACTATACTATTGAGTAAAAGAATAATTATATTGACTTCAGATTTATACAGACATATTAAAATATCCAGGATAACCACTAAAAGAGAAAGATAGGAGAAAAATATTTATGTATAAGAAGAGAAAAATAAAACACAAAATAACAGGAAGTAATCCAAATAAATAAAAAATGTGAATAAACAAAGCTGTTGTATCTACGTTAATATTAGACAAAAGACTTAAAAGTAGTTACTAAAGAGAAAAATCACTCTATAATGATAAAAAAATTTTGATTCATTAGGAAAACATATCTTTTCTAAACATGGATGCACTTACTAAGTTAGCTTTAAAATATTTAAAGTAAAAACAAGAAAAAATAGACAAATCCACCATTCTAGTGTGAGATTTCACACACATCTCTCAGTAATTGAGAGCACAGACAAAATTATTAGGAGAGATAGATCAAATGATTTAAAAACTTGACTTACTGGACATATACATAACGCTGCATTCACTAAGCACACCTGGAATATTTATAAAAATATGCCTCATATTAAGACTATTATGCAAAATCCAAATTAATTTCAAAGAATCACAATCATAAAGACCATCTTCTCTGGTCACACTGTTAAGTTAGAAATTAATAAGAAAAAGAAAAATCCATACATTTGGAAATTCAAAAATACATGGCTTAAGAAGAAATCATAATGTGATGTAACAAAAAAGTTAAATCGCAATAAAAATACTCCATAACAAAACCTGCATACAGTGGCTAAATTCATAGTCGTAGCTACTTACATTAGAAAACAGAAAAAGTTGAAAATCACATGATATCACTTATATGTGGGATAAAAACCTAAAAGCAACAAATGAACAGGATAAACAAACAGACCATGGACATGGACAATGGACTAGTGGTTACCAAAGGGTAAGAGGGTGGGGGGAGAGGGGAGGTTGACAGAGGAAACTATAAAAATAAAAAAATAAAATAAAAATAAAAATAAAAAATAATTTTTTAAAAAACCAGAGGCTGCAAATTAGTGAAATAAATATTTAACTTAAGGAGTTAAGAAAAAATAAAAGACAAAACCCAAAGAAATAGGAAATAATGATGCAAAGAGCAGAAATTTAGATACAGAAAGCAAAATTCACTTCTTTGAAAGCACTAATAAAACTGAAAGATCTTTCTAAGCAAAACTAAGAAAAAGAGAAACTGCAAACCTTCGAAACTTAAAAGACAGAACTATAGATGTGAAAAAAATTTAAAAGAGACTATTTTATGCCAATAAATCTAAAAGTGAACAAAAATAGTAAAATTCAAAGATGTACAGTCAAACCAGTAAAACCTAAAAGATAAACACTATATTCTTAAGTTGTTTCGTCAGGGTAAGGTATCTGATGGGAGGTGGGCAGGGGAGAGGAGGAATCTCAACTTTTATCTGTAAAATTTTATTTTAAAGAAAAATCATTTAAAACAAATATGGCCTTATTGCTACAGGAGTAATTTTATGTTTGTCTATATATTTAAAACATTTTATTTAAAAACTTAATAATAATAACCAGAGAAGATACGGTAAAATAGTAAGAACAAGAGCTAGTATTTATTGAGTGCTTACATTATGCCAGAACTGTACTAAGTGCTGTCTATATATTAACTCAAGCAATACTCAGGCTAACCCTATGAAGTAGGTACTATTATCATCCTCATTTTGTACATGCGGGAGGGCACTGAGACACAGATGTTAAGTACATTACGCTGTTGTTTTATATCCTTTGAAAAACGACTGATAATATTGATCAATGAGCGTACCTTTAGAACCTGTATATCTAATTTAGGATATTTATCTTAAGGAAATAACCAAAACATACCAAAGATGTTATACAAAAAGACATGAATTACTCTGTTGAAATAGTTATGGAGCATCTATATGATAAACTATTATATATCCAATAAAAATATTTGGAAAGAATTTTCAACATGAAATAATACTTATACTCTAATGATAAACAAAAGGATACAAAATTATTATACAGTGGTTCTCAACTGTGTAAAAAATATACATAAAAGACTGAAGGAAAATACAAAAAATGTTATGGAGGTTACTTGTAAGTGGTAAAATTACAAAGACTTGTTTCCCCCACAAGTACATAAACTTAAATTTTTAAGTATATATTGTTTTTATAATGAGGAAAAACTACCAAATGAGAAAAAAATAGCACATATTTATTTTCTCAGTCCTCCTAATCAATCATGCCAAACTATTTCCATAACTCCAAACTAACCCCAAACTGTGGGCAACTTAGGAGATAGGCACAAAAACAAAGAGTTTTGCTTAACACATAATAAAACTGAAAAACAACAGTCTGTATTGTTTCTAATAACAGCTTTTAATTACACTTACGTGGTAATTGTGGTGTTTTACTGTCATGTGAACGGTAGTCTTCATGAGGGACAGACTTGTCATCCTAATTGCAAAAAAGTTTATTATGTTAATATAAAACTAAAAAGATCTATAATGTAGAGGAGAGCAGATAAAATATTTGAAAAGTTTGGAGGAGTGAAGTGATATATAAGAACTCACCATTTTCACATGCATAGGTCTATCAAACAAAAATTGCCCATTGAACATAGCTGTTGGTTCAGTCAAGGAAAGCCAGTTAAGATAACTATAAAATTATACTTAAACGCAAACACATTTTTAATAATCTTAGTCAGACTATCTTTAATATTTTAATCAAAATCTTTAATAATAATTTTACTTATTTGTATTAGTCTCTTATATATACTCAAATAAAAATCTAATTCTTTGCTTTATAGTTTGATTTTATAAATAAAATGTAACCTTTTAATTCAACCACTGAAAAAGAATTAATAAGGCTTCATTTAAAGCAACTGTATTAATTTATAATGGATTACATAACTTTCAAGAGCATGTAGGAAGAGAAAGTAGGAAAAAAGTTCATACTAGGCCTGTACAATACAGCTAATTCAAGTTTTAAGAGTGACTTTAGTTCTTGGACATAGAAAAGGTTTTAAGTGCTGGAGACTAAAGTCTAATACACACTTCTAAGCCAGGCATCCTTAAATTGCAGGACTCCCACAAAATGGTATCAAGCTTCTTCAATCTTATTCAATAATGCTAAAGTATCAATCAGGATACAAATTGCTTGAACTGCTTCAATTGCTTGTTCAAAAGTGACTGTGCCCATTCCTCTGCTCTTGCCATCTTTGTCTTCTTTAATATCTGCCCGCTTTACAGTTCCAGCTATGCTGAACACTTCCTTTAGCTTCTTCCAACCAACTTTGAAGTCAAGCTTAACATAAAATTATATGAAGTTACACACCTAATAAACCCTTCTCCCCATTTATAAATACAAAGAAATCTTTTCTAAACTCTCAAAACTATGAACAGCTATAATTCTTGTTAAACAGTATATCAATAATATTCAAATAAAAACATCTTAAGTTGTTTAAAATTGGTTAAGCTACACCTATGTTGTTCCTTATCCTTAATTTTTTTAAATTCCCAAAACAGTCTCTCAACTATTCAATCTTGTTTTGTACATTTGAAACTTGTATATCTATTTTTACTGAAATTCAGATTTTGAAAATTGTTATCACTGACTTTCAAAAGCTTAGAACAAATGACAAACCAACTGCAACATGCACATTCACAAATATCAAATATCAAAGCTAAAGAAACTCACCAATATAAACAAAAATCACATAAAGTAAATAATTTCAAGAACTGCTAATGTTTATAAATTCCACAGTTCTTTTTTTTAAAAAAGTCTAAATATTTATTTACACTCTAATCTTACATAGAGAGACTTAAATTGGGTTTAAATTTATAATTTGTTTGGCTTACTTTAATTAAAAATAAGCAAAATGTTCTATAAACCTATAACTCATTCATCTAATTAAATAATCTCATAATTAGAACTGAATATCTGAATAACAAAACTTTAAACTAAAGCTTAAACTTACATTAGCAACAAAAATTGTGGAACCAAGTCTACCAGCCTGCAAATTACTGATAACCTCAGGAGGAATGTTTGGATTATTGAGAATGGAAGGTGGTAAATTCATCAACCCCGATCCCAAATCGGGTACATGTCCTCCTGGAAATGATCCTCCTGTTCGTTGTAATGCCCTACGAGCATTTTCTCCATCAGGATCCTATAACACACATTGAACATTAAATGCCACTAGGTACATCAGTAAGACTATATAATTAAAACAACAACTTCAAATTCTATAGTAGCTATCCCATCTCACTCAAATTATTGGCCCTCTTGAAGAGTAAGCTTTTTTCTCATCCAGAGAATTCAGTCCCATAAAAACCTGTGGACAGACAAAAGATTACAGTCTCCAGGGATGTCAATTAAATACCTCTTTCCAATCACTAAAGTCACTTAAGAACTTGAAATTAGTTTAATTTTGCCCTTGTACTACTGTACAAGTATATGGCACACACACATAAATACGTATAACTCGAAGAGGAACAAAATACTTACTGTAACTCTTTTCTTTCCAAAATGCAGTAATGGTGAATTGTCACCACTGGATGACCAAAGCAATGCCAAATTGAGACTAATTAAAAGCTTTTCAACCACAGAACAGATTGCTATAAAACCCAGGAATACTCGGGTAGAGAGGAACTATGATAATGTATAAATTTCATTCCTGAACAAAATACAATTATCCACCTTCCAACTTTCCTTCCTCAACATGATTATGATATAAAATAGGGGCAGGGAAGGGGACAAAGAAAAGCTGTGTCCAAATGAAGAATGATACTAAACACTGCTTTTATTTTTATTTCATTAACTTTATAAGAGAAATATTCTATTTTTAAACAAAACGAAAAAGGTAAGTTTAAACGTACTTCTCACTCATCTCACTAGGCAGAATGCAAAAAATAAAAAATCACATAAACACATTAACAGACTATCACCTACAATACTAAATGATTATGATCTATGTAATCATCAACTCTACTCTGTTGGCCTGCCTGGAAATACTAATAAAAGGCAAGTTTGGTGACTTCAATAAATTCTCTAAGAAGGCTGGGAGACTAGAAAGTGAGAAAGTGAATGCAAGAATAAAAGTATTCTGGCTTCCAATATATTTCTTCATCATGAATAAAAAGAAATACACAAGTAAAAAAATAAATTTTTAGAAGAATGCTATAAAACTTTTAAGTTAATAAATAATAAAACCTTCAGACCTAAGGTTTCAAAAACTTGCACAAATACAAAATTTAGGATAGGGGTATCTTATGCAGGAAGGAAAAGGACACAGCAGAACAGGTTTCGTGAACTATTAAAATAGGTTGTTTGTTCTTATCTTAACATTAATAAAGCATATTACTATGCTTTGATTTGTCTACTCTATATATGACATATATATAAACATATATAATACATAACACATATATAAAATACAATGAATATAACACAAATTACCTACTGTATAACAGTTTTTATTCTTTTCCCCTTGGATGTCAGCCTGCCAGTCACTGCCTGGTATTGCTATCAGAGAGCCTATAATAAGTTTATAACTGCTACTAACTCTCATTTAATTAAATGAAAAAGTGCAATTCTAATATTTGTAAAGGAACATTGGAAATCAACTTTTCCTAGTTCTCAGTACTGACCCCAGTCATCCATTTATAAATCAGATATTCCTAGGAAAGAGACCTTTAGGGATATTAATCCAAAAAAGTTAATTGAAAAAACAGCTCATCATTTAGCAAGGCAAAACACAACCATTTTTTCTTTTAAAAAAACTTAAAAATGGAAGCATCCTATATCAGCTTGGATCACATGACTCTATTTTTGGGTCTCTGAAATATTACTGAGGATCAACAATGTGCTCAAACTTAAAAAAACATAAATGATATGGACCTGGCCTTTAGTATCCAATGAACTTTTTCCGATTAAACATAAAAACACTGAGAATCTATAATACTTGTCTCTCAAAGAATAAGAAACATCATAAAACAACAAATCATAATCCTCAAAATAATAATTTCCCATAAGGGTGGTTATTCTACAAATGCCACTCTTATGGGAAATTATTTAGGATATCAACACATTTCTGAACACTAGTACCGGCTTCCCCATAAAAACCACTAAATAAATGGCTGTCACAGGCCAATAAAAGTCTAAACTTTCTCTATCAATTCTCTGCTTCTCAGTCAAAAAAAAAAAAAAACAACAACAACAAAAAACAACCAAAAAAAGAACCACCACTCAAATAGGATTAGAGGAATTCAGAAGCTGACTTGAATAAAGGGATTTGAGATACTTGTATTTGTTGTCAGCATAGCCTTTCATTTTAAGCTATAGTAAGTAGTCCCTGCTTATCCATGGTTTTGCTTTCCTTGGCTTCAGTTACCCAAGGTCAACTAAGGTCTGAAAATATTAAATGGAAAATTCCAGAAATAAACAATTCATAAGTTTAAAACTGCATGCTGTTCTGAGTAATGTAATGAAATCTCGTGCTGTCTCACACAGTCCCTAGGATGTGAATCATCCCTTTGTCCAGTATATCCACACTGCATAGGTGGCCCACCCATTAGTCACTTAGCTACCTCAGTTATCAGATGGACTATCATGGTTATCATAATGTTTGTGTTCAAGTAACCCTTATTTTACTTAACAATGGCCCCAAAGAATATGCCAAAGAGAAGTCGAGAAGTCTTACAGTGCTTCCTTTAAGTGAAAAGGTATGTATGTATAGGAAAAAACATAGTATATATAAGTTCTATACTATCCAAGGTTTCAGGAATCCACTGGAGGGTCTTGAAATGTACCTACTGCGGATAAGGGGAAACTACTGCAATATTATCTCATACTCAGGAAAAGGAGAACAAAGACCAGTAACATTCCCACCTTGGGCAGGAATAATAACAATCATAATTATTACTGCTAACAGTTATTACGTAGTTAACTATTTTGAGCACTATGCTAAGTGCTTTACATAATACCACAATTATAAGAAATAGCTAACATTTATTAAATGTTATATATCTTAACTCTTTGAGTCCTTATGACACTATCAGGTTCTAGTATTATTCCCATTCTACTGATAAGAAAACAAAGAAATAGAGAGGTTAAGTAATTCACTGAGTCACACAGATTCCTTTATGCCACAGCCTGAATTCTTTACCATATATCTCATTTAATCCTCATAAACAACCTATTAGGTAAGTATTATCTGCAGAACTATTTTAATTACTAAGGTTTAGAGAATAAGTAACATGCCTACTTAGAGCTAGAAAGTGACAGAGCTGGGACCAAATCATTCCTATACTAAATTGCATTGTAAGGGACAGTACTGTACTATTACCAATGATTAACATCCGCCCTTATGGAGACTCTTCAGAGTCCCAAAGTTAAATCTCTCTATTCTTTTTTAAAAGAGACTTTAGGAAGGATATACACATAACTGATCTGTGAGCAAACTATTGAGATTAACAATATCAAGCTAAATGACAACTAAATGAAAATGACAACTATTCAAGCTAATCATGTCCAAGGTCAACTGTACCTAATTGTAAATAGTTTTTAAGTATCTTCTGATTATTCTTTTAACAACATATTTATATTGCAACTATTCCATACAAAGGGAATATCTATCTCCATTTTAGGGGTTTCCAAGTTTCAGTTATAAATTTTGCTAAAAGACCTGTAACTTTTCTTAAATTCTAATCTGGCACAGTTTCAGGTTAATTTTATTAAAAGTGAATATCAATTCTATTCAAATCCATAAGTATTTGCATTATTAAGCAAACTTTTATTATCAACTACAAGAATACCTACTATATTTCTATATTTAAACAACACAATCTAACAATTGAAAATGTATATACTAATAAGGTCAGTACCTAAAATATGTCATCTTTAAATTTTCTGGGTCCTGAAATTTTTTTAAATCATATACCTCTGCTAATAATAACTTGGAACAAATCAAATACATAGAATAACTGTTTATGGGCACATAGATTTTCCTGTACAAGCAAAACTATCATCAAAATATAATGCTTTAATTAGCATCTAAGCTTTAAAAACTGTTGTAGACAAATACATTACCAAAGATGAAAATCCAAAGAAAATAAGTCTTTATATTAAAACATTTAAATTATTCAATATAAGCAATCTTACCTCTTTAATATTCAGAGGTCTTCCACTAAGATCATATTTGTTCATAGTTTCTAATGCTTTCTTTACAAATTCTTCATCTTTGAATTCAACCACCCTTATTGGGGAAAAAAAATTTATAGGACATTTTTATGTACTAAGGTTTTTTTTTTCCAATCTGAAGTTTAAATTTGACTTAAGAGATTTTAAAAAAACTTCTTACCCACAACCCTATATCCAGGTAGATTTGTCAATATATGCAAAAGAAAAAAGGTTTCAGATCAGTAGATGAAGTTTATGGTAGAATCTAACATTTAAGTTTAAAGCAATCAATAAGTCAATCTTTTTTGTCTTACACCTCAAGAACAGTCAAGTGACCACAAATTTTCTGTAAATTTTTAAATATATATATTTAAGACAGTTGGATCTAGCCTAACATGCTTGAAGCACACTTTTACTTTTACTCTTCATTAACTTAAAACTAATGAATTTCATTGCATAAATTCAATCAAAAGTAATTGAAAGAAATAACTGACGGCTCCAATATACCTAGTCTTACAAAGTCACATATCTTTTCAAAAGATGTACTGTGCACAAATAGTTTTTAATGTATATTTTTATTAAAATCAAAATAGGAATTATTAATCTCACTTTTAACAAAGTTCTTAGAGAAAACTGGCTGCACATAATTTAACAGCCAGTTCTAAGTATGTGAAAAGTATCCTATTCTAAAGAAACAAATTTGTACTCTCCTTTTTTAAATGATTCTTTGTCATTATTACTCTTCAAAGCACCACTAAAGGTAATGACAAAGTTCTTATTTTTCATATAGTCAACTGGTTTTCACTAATATAATTAAACATTGTTAAGAGCTTTCCACTGTACTCTTCAGTATATTTTCTTGTTGCTAAAAATCAAAATTGACTGTCACCCAACTCCTTCTATATCAATTTATTCATCAATGTCATTCATACCAATTGGTCAGAGCACTGCTTCTTACGTAGTCCCATAGGCTACCAGAAAAAGTTTTTCAGTATAAATTTCAAACATACATTCTGAATTAACAACTTTAAGCTTATAGGCCTCTCAAAAAACTCTTAGGGAATATTATCAATTCGATGACTTTTAAATATCCTTGAAGACATCAAAACACAACAAAAAAAAAAATCCTACATTAAAATCTATTGGCTAAAAAGAAGCATTACCTTACAGCATTAGAAAAGTGAATGCCCTTTATGAGTATTTACAAAACCCAACCCTTCCAGGCAGCTAGCTTGATTTGTATAAGTGTCAGACTTGCTAGTATAAAGCCTCAAATCTTGCATAATAAAGTAAAACAAAATGAAACTTAAGTTTCCAAAAACTGGTACAAGTATTATACAAAAAGTAAACTGCTGAGGAACTTTTAAACCTCGAGCAGATTACTGCCCACAGCACTTACCCTTGATTTTCCTTCCGCATCCTTAAAGAGCTCCACGTATGTAACCTCACCAACTACATAAGACATACAAAAGGAAGATACCAAGAAACAATACATTTAAACACCAATATCTTGCTTTACTGCACACCTGTGCACAACTCTACAGAAAAGCACCTATTATTCACCAACAATCAAAACCAGACCAACATACCTCCTGTCAATGGCTATGTAAATTTAACTGATTTTCAGAAATGTACATCATCCACATTCTCTAAAAAAGCTAACAACCATATTAACCTAATTCATACTACAGATCATATTTTGGCCAGCATGATATAGTTGGTGAACAAATGTACATATACATACAAATGATCCCTTAGCCTATCATATTAAAAACATCAACATTAGCACTTTTCAAATAACTTTAGTCGCCTACACACAACAGCTGTTTTAAGGTGACTTCCTACCTGAATGTCTTCAATCATGTTTGCCATCAGTAAACTAAATTTACAAGTCATGCTTCACAGCAAGCCACACACTTTCTAAATAAAGTCAATGAATAAAACCAATCAAATAGTTGTCACCTTACAACAGATACACCAATGCAATTTTTTTTTAATTTATTAGAAGAGATCAGCCTCAAAGCCAAGTACATAGTTTGCAGGACTGTTGAAACTCAATTTTTCAAGAGATAACAAAACTAACTTTTACAAGATCAATTATGAAAATTAGTTTTCCCCAAAACCAACCATGTATATAAAATAAAGGTTTTCAGGTTATTCTGAAAACAAAACTGCAACAGCAGTAACGCAATTTTAATATAGAACTGCAGAGACAGCATCATGGCATTCATGACAATGCAAACAAAATGAATTCCACAGCCAGATTCCAGGCTCCGCCAAGATAATAACAAAACAGCTTTTGGAAAAAAAATAATCAGACCTTATTATTCATACTTTAACAGCTAAATGTATTGCTTAACTAATACAACAGTCCTTTAAAAATCTATAAAAACTTCAACTAGACAAAGCAATCACTTTAACAAAATTCTTGGTGGCATGCATATGCTGGCTCGCTACTATCCCACTGAAATAACAAAAAAAAAAACAAAAAAACAAAAATACTTCATTTATCCATACTACCTTGTAATGAAATTGTGTCAAGTGAAAGAAGAGGAAAAGATTAATGCATGTGTCAAGAAATAAACAAAAATCAATTTTTTTGAGTCTGTGTGGCTCAGAGGAATAAAAAAAATTTTGCTTAGTTCTTTCTCCCTTTCTACATGATTAGCGAACAGTGGGTTTATCAGAGATGGTTACCTTTTTCTCTCATTAGATCTTTAATAGCTTGCCATTTCATGTCATATGGAATGTTGCTAATGAAAACTCTGTTACGATTTGGACCTTTCTTTTCTCCAGTGCCAGAATTCTTGTCTTTTGAATAAGGATGAAATCTATTGGCCTTCTTATTTCCTGTAGATTTTTCTTTAAATTCTGATTTCTCTTCTTTCACTGATTCATCATTCTCCCTATGAATTAAAAACAACAAAAAGAAAACCTCAGTCATGCTTCTTATAATGAGTATATATTAAATATTTATCACTTCACAAAACTTTCCACTAAGTTAGATTTTGCAAAGCAACTGTGGAGTCATACTGCTGGCTTTGAAATTACCCAATGCTGTTTCAAAGCAAGCATGTGGGGATATTAACAAAATTTCTCATTTCACAATCCTTTTTTTCCATATTAAATAGATGCAGCATCCAAACAATAATCCAGTTTTTCCCAAGATAATGCTTAATAAATGTTATTAGAACCTAACAAAAGGGAGAAATTGGTGATTTTATTCCTACAATATGTAAAACTGCCAGCTTTAATACAGAACTCTAAAAAAACAAATTTACAAAACGATATCCTGAAAAAGTTCATCTCTTAAAGGTTAACAGTTTCTTCCCAGAACTTTTCTCCTCCACTGCTCAAAAACATAGTTAATGGGAGGAAGGGGTGGAGGAAAGAAGCAATACTTAAATGTAATGCAAACCAGAATTTTATAAATCTACATTTTAATGAGGCCCTAACTGGAAAATATTTAATTTATAAAACTGTAATCACAATGCAACTATATGATGCTATCTACCAACCATCTGTAGAATATAACACTGAAGTAAAATAAATCCTATAGATCAAAAGCTGAGTATTTTAAAAATGCAATTTACTTTTCAAAAGAAATCCTTTTTTTACAGAATAACAATAGATTTATTTTAAATCATTAATTACTCTAGTGAATTTTATACTACTTAATTAAAATTCTGATTTTAAAGCAAATTTTTACAAACATATACTGATTAAAATCTCTGGAAATGACATCCAGGAATCTAAATCTTTTAAAACTTCCCGGATTACTCTGACAACCAACCAGGTTTCATAAAGCAGGCTCTAAATTATCTTCTAAGCCAAGCAACTGTGGGAACCTACCTATACATGGCAGCACTCTACACACACATCATTTGCTAGTTGCTTATTCCATGATATACCGAACTTTTTAGACACTACTTTTCTGAGCAGGTAACAACACTACCATAAACATAGTGTATAAAACTCTATTTAAAAAAAAGAAAAAAAAAAACTACCTGGGCTGGTATTAGCAGCATCTAGTATGGTGACTGCATATAACATGTGCTCAATAAATATTAATTCTGGAATGAGCAAACAGTCAATTGAGAACCCATACTCATCTGAATACAGATGGTACTTTTATTTGCCAGAAAAACTGATAAAATCAAGAGACTCTAGAGCCAAACTTGCTTTGCCACTTTTTCAGATCTTGAAAGGGACACATTCACTGTCAAACATCTTCCCTTATCATAAATGGCACAGCCTGGTAGTGATCATCCTACCTGTCCAACTCTAGCAAGTATCTATCTGTCTGAACAGAGCTGTACTTCTGTGAATGGCAGTAAGCAGCCAAAAGGCACAGAGGCCTTCTCTGGCTTCTGGGGACAGGAAATACAAGAACCCCTCTTTTTAATCCTCCGAAGAACCCATTTACATAGTAGGCTGAATTCAATTAATGGTTTTAAAATAACTAAGTCTCTATTCACGTGAACTGACATCTATATGGTCGCTAGCTAAATACCAATTCCCCTGCCTATTTTCCTCTTGCATGAAACCAATTTTGAAAATTGCACAAAGTTCTGAAGCACTCACTGTATTCCTCTATTCTTACATGGATGCTGTCAGCACAATCTGACAATTCCATTAAAAAGCAGTAATATCACCTATAAAACCATTGCCACTCTCAAGAAAATGAGAGTCCATCGCCCTCAAAAATTTCTTCATGCACCTTTGTTTTTTTCCTACCACCTCTCCCCATCCCTTCCCTTGTCTCCAGGCAATGACTGACCTGCCTTCTGTTACTCGTCTGTTTTCTAAACTTTATATAAATTAAATCATACAATATTTTTTTTAAGCAGTAGTATTATACAGGATACCCTCTTTAAAACATTTGCTCAATAGATGAACAGAGAGAGCAATTTCTTCAAGTTTTCCCCCATCAGCAGCATCTTAAAGATACAGCTGAATTGTTCATCTGTAAGGTACAAATTAAGACTATCTATGGAAGGCACATCAGTTTAGTGGCTACAGGTATAGTGTGATTAAGAAACTAAGCTATAATTACTCAATATCTGAACTCTTTGTATGTCCAAATACACGATGGAAGAGACAGTGAAAATATATGTGAAAACTCTTACAGAAATGATGCTACATAATGTCAAAATATTGGCATTATATCCAAAATTCCTTGTAATAATTTCCAAACTATTCATTTAGGCAAATCTTCCTCTTAATGTACTTGACATAAAAACTGTAACTATTCTAAATCACAAAAATGTTATCTACTCATAAAACTAAATTACGCCTACCCAAATTATAATATAAAATTCTGAAAAATACTGAACATTGAATAAGAAAAGTTTTAATATAAAAGGCATACTGCTAGTGTATGAGATGCAAAACTAAGCCCAGTTCCATTCTTTATTCCTAATATGATTAAAAAAAAAAAAAAAACTACTACTCTACTTCAAACACTTCACCTTGCTCCATGGCTTAATATTTTATTCAAGTACCCTAATGTAACTCTCATTCTCCATATACTCCAAGGCGTTACTTAATCACACTTGAATAATGAAGAGTTATAACAATACTGCTATTTTTTCCCTCCGATTCATTTGAGAGCTAGTATACCATTTTGGCATAAAGAACAAGACTATACCTACAGAAACATCTTTAATTTCTTGTCACAAGATATGAACACACCAACTAATCCTCTGTATATGAGTTTCATAATCATAAAAGTTCACATCTACACTTCTTAAAAATATTTATTGGGCCTTTATAAGCATAAGGCCTTGGGGATATAAAGATGAATAACATAGTGGTCTCCATCCTTAATGACTATGGATTAACCTCAGAAAGTCATTTCAATCTTGATAACAAGAGGCACTGTGTTCGCTTCTAAGCAACATATATTTTAAGACAATATTTTGTAATTTTTATCATCTCAATAAATTCTTATCATTAAAATACATAGAAATCAACTCAAGTTTATATGTTGGGTTGTTAACTACTAAAGTTGGTTCACAGGGTAAAAAAAAGGTTGTTAGGTTGATACAGGTAAATGTCCCTAATAATTTGGAATGAGTGATCCATGCTGGACCATTACATGTTCTTATGGAAGAGGCAGTATAAGAAATCCCTGAGAGTAAAGTGGCCTCTTCACTCAACTTCTAGGAAAAGATAGGAGAGAGATGAATTACAAGCAATATGGAAAGAATCTACATTTGTATTTACTTATAACATTTCTTAATTTCTTCACCTTATATTTTTCTTTTCCTCAGTAAGAAGTTAAAGGAATTCTTTTTCTACCTCTCTCTTCTGTCTGGCTAAACCACAATGAGACCTTAAAAGGGATCAGAGACTTTTAGATATGATGGAGGCTTAGATACCAGCTTTATCTGTACGGACACTATTAAACTGATCATATTCAAGAACAGTAAGGCTTCTCTCTGTAATTCAAGGCTGTATTTTTTGTTCAGGAGGAAAGGGTGGCAGGTAGTTTTTAAAAGCACATATTTAAAATTTATCATTTCACTGATTTTCATTCGCATTTATGATGCCAAATTCCTGAAAGCCCACATTATGGTAGGTAGAGTAGAAAGTGCATCACCCCATTTTGGTTCCTCAGTTACTGAGGCATGCCACTTTCCACCTAGGAACAAACTCCACTGAGGTGGAATCTCTTATAACTGCACCTCTATTTTGCCTAAAGATACTGCCTATCCTATTCAAACTCAATTGAGAGCAAGTGTCATAACCAAGCAAGGGTAGCCACCTTGTCTGCAATCAACGGTTACACAGAATGGTCAAAATTTATCACAGTTTCAAACATTTTTATACAAAAGTAAAAAACATTTCCGTTGTCTATTTTAGTGCGAGCAAATGTTCATTGCTTGCCACTCTGAGGCATAACTGAGAGAAGGAAAACAATGTTTTTCGCTAAATAACATCCTACTTTCAAGTTCAGATTTAAAGAGCTGGACATATGCAAATAAATGCCTGAATTCATATCCTCCCATAAAACAAAAACGAAGAAGAGCATAACATTTCTTTATGATAACTAGAAATTATTTTGTAGTCAACTAAATTCTTTATAGGGACTAATGACAACTAGAATCTTAAAGGTAGTGGATTTTCTTCAATTGAAAACAATTTACTTTACCATTATACCAAAATTAAGAACCTACCATCACACACTGAGGTTTGTTTGTTTTTAAGTAGCCTGCAGGGCTGACAAACATTTGGGAGTCGGGGAGAGGAAGGAAGCAAGGCACATTTTCTTTTTTAAAGTACCTCTTACTACTTCAAGGATTAACACAATGGTTTCGGTCTAACCGCACATTATTAAACTTCCTCTTGGTATGTGTCAGTTCAGAAATGAACATACCTTAGAAAACAATAACAAAACACTGAACTTATAAACCTCAGAATGAGGCCGGGGAGTTGGGAGATATTCCTTTTAAAAACGTTCTCGGTTGTTAGGAGGACATGTCCGATGATGTCATCCTTAGATACTCCCTAGTGATGAACACTAACTACTGGCCTTTAAAAGGGGGACCATTTTCCAGCAAAGCGTGGCGGCCACCGAGCTTTGCTCAAAGGTTCTCCAACCAAAGTCGGAGAAGAGAGGGTGGCCCGTGGTCTCGGGCTAGAAATGGAGAGGGGGCGCCGGCCTCGTGGTCCGCACCACGGCTCCCCTGGCCCGAGGCGGGCGGGTAGGGCCTGGGAGCGTCCGGCTGCACCTGCTCCTCCCGGTACCCACGGCCCGAGGGCAGTTATTTCCCCACCGAGGCCCAGCCTGGCCTCCGGCCCTACAGGCCGACTTCCCGCCCCCCACCTCGTCGCGACCCCAGAAAGAAAAGACAATACATTTTAACGCCATTGGAGCTGCTGCTGTGCTGAGGAGGCTGCCTCTCCGTCTCTGGCGGGTGCGGTTCTCGCCGTGGCTCGCCCGGCAGCTCTGCGGGCTGCTGATTCGGGCTGTCGTCGCCAGCGGCACCGGGCACCTCGGGCTTGTCGGCGTCCGCCATCCCGCCGCCACTGCCTCCGCGTCGGCCGCCTGCGCTGAGGGGCTCCGAGCGCGACAATGGCGGCGGCCGGGGAAGCGGTAACGGATCCCGATTTGAAAAGGCCCCGAGCGCTGTTGCCCGGATCTCGCGAGAACCAGTCGGGGCCCGGCGACTGGGAGATGGTGTGAGCCCGGGGTTGGGGGTGGGAGCGTTGGGAGGGGGAAGGGGAGGGATAGGGTGGCGGGTCAGGGCCGCCATTGCTGCAGTCTTGCTCCAGGGCGAGGAGCGCTTGACTTGTCCAGAATCCCCCAGTGGGGTCTTGTTCTGCCCACCAGCCGGCCTGTCGCTTGGCACTTAATGGGGTCTTCGCTTACAAAAGTTGGCTCTGGGTGTTAGAAACCTCTAAAGCTCTGAAACCCAGACTATTCAATTCATTCCATGTAGAAGCAGTTTAAATGAGAGAAGCACCCACCACTTTGCATCTTTAAAGACTTCTGCAAATCTTAGGCTCCCGTTAGAAATCCTTTGAATAATGCAAAGAAATCACTTGCCTCTTCAATGCCTAGGCACCCTGTGGACGTTCAATAAATAGTTATTGATGACTGGTTGCAATTCAGCAAAATGAAGGGCTTCGAATTTCTTTTGAGTTCCGGCTGTTCTCCATAATAAGGCTTTCCTTAGGACTCAGCTATCTGCTTATAAAGAGAAGAATGAAGTTTTTTAATTCTCCAAGCAACAATCAATGGAGAGAATCTATAATTTTTATAAGAAATCTTCTACTAGATTGGCTAATAATGGACATTTTGGGTTTGGGTTATGTGTTTATTATATGCTGTTGGAAATTATATTTGAAGCAGTTATAGGCTCTCAAATTTAATTACCATATGGAGTTTTAAAATCTATAGTTATAGATTTTTCCCTTACATATGAAAAAGAAATCCATTAACTCCCAACTCTTGAGTACTATAATTTCACATTGAAATAACATTTATGAGCTGAAAAGTTCAAAGACCTTCAAAAGGTTTCTTTTCATAAAGATACAATCATGTATGGTTTCCATGCTTTGCAGAATATCACAAACATTAGTGGTAAAGTTGTTAGAAACACATTCAAGTATTACATAATTTCATCAATCCCCTCTGTTCTTTGATATTTCAATATGTAGATTTCTGCCCTTAAATATAAAACATTCGATCCAATTCTAGAAGAGTTGAGCTACTTAATCCAACATACACAAAAATCAGAACAATTTTAATCATAATGAGTACACCTGGTAAAATACTATTTAAGCTGCTACTGACATTGTTTCATGAACACAGCCCATGCTATTGTGGTTGCAGCATAAATTGTTTCTCCTTAGTCAATCCTAAAATTTAGTGTTTGGAGAAGCAGAAGGGCATGGGGATTTGATACAGAAAACACAGAACCCCAGTTCTGCCACTTTCTGCCTGTAATTCCTTGGGCAAGTCACTTAATTTTTCAATCTCTCCATAATAAATAAGGATAACAATACTTACCTTGCAGGATTAAGGTGGGGATTAAAAGAAAGCACTTTATGTAGGGCAAAGTGCTATACGAATATAAAGTAATATTACAATTCCCTATCTCTCCATACTGGGCAGGGTTTTAGTCAAAGAGAAGTCAGGTTCTTTTCTCAAGAACAGAATTATAAGTACTTTCAAAACATTCATCATTATCTGTTATCTTTTTGCTATAGTTGAATTTAATGATGAAAACTTAACCCTGCAGTCCCTAGTACAGAAGGATTCTTGAAAAATCCTTTAATAGATCCAATTTAATATTTTTTAAGAGGTCTTTATGTTTAAAACGGAGTAGTAGGTGCATGAGGAATACAAAAATTAGTATAGGCCTGTTGGGAAAGTACATTTATAAAAAACATTATTCGAGTGCTGTAATGAAGATAAAAGTATAATTAAAAATTTATTTACAAAATAAGAGACCAGCCTGAATGCTGTAGTATGGTAATTAAAATATTCCACTGAAATATTTATCTTGTGCTCACTGTCATTAATCATCAGAGAAAAGCAAATTAAAACCACAAGGAGATATCACCTCATACCTGTCAGAATGGCTATCGTCAGTAAATCAATAAATAAGTGTCAGCGAGCTGTTGAGAAAAGGGAACCCTTATGAACTGTTAGTGGAGTTGCAAACTGGTACAGCCGCCATGGAAAACAGTATAGAGGTTCCTCAAAAAATTAAAAATAGAACTACCTTATGACCAAGCAATCCACTTCTGGGCATTTATGCAAAGAAATCCAACACACTAATTCAAACAAACATGTGCATCCCTGTGTTAATTGCAGTATTATTTACAATTACCAAGAAAGACGATTAGATAAAGAAGATGTGGTACAAATATGTAAGGAATATTACTCAGCCATAAAAAAGAATAAAATCTTACCATTTGTGACAACATGGTTGGACCTAGAAGATATTAGGCTAAGTGAATAAGTCAGACAGAGAAAATAAGTTGGACATAGGAATTTACCTGATAATTTCACTTATATGTGGAATCTAAAAAACAAAATAAACAACAAAACAGAAACAAACTCAGATACAGAGAAAGAATGGTTGCCAGGTGGGAGGGAGTTTGGAGGGCTGAGTGAAAAAGCTGAAAGGATTAAGAAATACAAATTGGCAGTTACAAACTAGTCATGGGGATGTAAAGGACAGCATAGGAAATATAGTCAATAATATTGTAATAATTATGTGTGGTGTCATGGAGGCACTAAACTTATCAGGAGGATCAGTTCATAAGCTATTTAAAGGTCTAATCACTATGCTGTATATCTGAAACATAATATTGATGTGATCTATAATTGAAAAATTTTTCAATTAAACAAAAATTTTTTGTCTTGATCATGGAGCTTTGTGGCCCCTTTTAAATTCTGTGCCTAAGACAAAAACCTCACTCACTGTACTGTAATCTTGATCCTGTAAATGCATAAAGGGTAGAGGATAATTCTTACAGGGGGATCTATGAGAGCTTCATAGAAGAGCTGAATCTTAAAAGATGGAGAGAATTGGGGCAGCTTCTGAAGAAACATGATTAATTCTTACCACTCCATCTGACTGCTCTATAGATTAATCTTTTTTTCCTTTTGCTATTAATATTGAACTTAGCTAAATCTTCAAAGAATAAAAAGAAAATTTTTATTAATATCCTATTGCTATGTTCCATTTCTGTATTTTCCTCTTTTTCTTCCTCTACTTTTTTTGAGTCCTTATATATATATAGTAAAAATCTTGAGTAATGTTTTAGTTTTTACCTTCTCATCATTTCCATTGTATATGTCTTGCTTTGCAATTGTACTAACTGTATCACTAGTACAACTTCGCATAACTACTTAGTTTTTTTCTTACAAATTGAAATATGTGTGTTTACGTGTGTGTGTGTGTGTGTGTGTGTGTGTGTGTGTGTGTGTGTGTGTCAGATGGGTCCTGGACTTAGTGGGGCGATCACTTCCTAAGTTATATAAATGTCTAATCACAATGTTATTGTATACCTGAAACTAATATAATATTGTATGTCAACTGTAATTGAAAAATAAGTTTTTTTCAAGAATTACAAGCAAAGGCCAAAAATATATAGTTGAACAAAAAGTATACTACAATTTTTAAGTCAATTTGCTTGGCTTTATAAAATTAAATGGCTGGATTTGTAGCTATTGAGTTTCCAAACTTTAGAGAATTAAAACGTAAAAAGGAATTTATAATTTATATTATAGGTTATATTTGAAATTCATATGTAGTTTCCTTTTCCATCATAGAAGTTTATTCTGTGATGAAAAAGTGGATATTGGTTATTGTCACTAGAAAGGAAAGTATAGTTTTATATTGACAGTCAACTATTTACCATTTCTTCCCTCTACATTACTCTGCTTAATTTAGGAATCTATTTTTTAGCATTTAGCATTCTAAAAATACATCCTGAAGAAAGATCTCTACCAGACAAGTGGAGTCTAGAATTAAGACAATTATCTGAATAATCCAGGCAGAAATTCTGCTTTCGCCTCAATTATTCTAATAATTCAGATAATATCAAGGGTTTTGCTTGAATTTCTTAGGTAATTGTTTCATTTTTCAAGTTTATAATGCTGAGGTTATTGCCCAATAACAGATTTACTTTTGATTTTTATAAGAAATATTGGGATATACTTTTTTTCTTTAAAGACTATTGTTTCCTTTAATTCTGGGATATTCGAGTCTCAATTTCTATTCATATTCTAATTTCTTAATTTGAATCACTTAATTTCTATTTTTGAATTAAATTTCTTCATTTAAATTTTTTTCAATCTCACCCCAGTAATTCTACTAAAAGGAGAATCAACAGAGCAAATTTTCAAGAGCTCTGCTCTACTTCCCTTCCTATGTGCATAATTTCTCTCCTCCTTAATAATTCCATGAATTGATCTTTCTCTGTCCAAAGCCATGCATATTATATGGTAATATTTTAAGTTTGATATCCTAACCCAAAAACTATAGTAGTTCCCCCTATTTACAGGGACACATTCTAAGACCCCCAGTGGATACCTGAAACCACAGCTAGTAGTGAACTTGATATATGTGTGTGTGTTTTCCTAAATGTATATACCTATGATAAAGTTTAATTTATAAATTAGGCACAGTAGGAGATTAATAATGACAACTAATAATATTTTAGAACAGTTATAACAATATGCTGTGATAAAATTTATGTGAATGTTTTCAGGGCCATCACTGAGTAAAATAAAGGTTACTTGAACACAAGCAGTGCTATATCAAGACAGTCGATCTGATAACCGAGATGGCTACTAAATGACTAAGGGGCAGGTGGAGGACAGATGATATGATTAGGATATGCCGGACAAGGGATGATTCACATCCTGAGCAGGACAGAGCAAGATTTTATCACACTACTCAGAATGGTACACAATTTAAACTTATGAATTGCGTATTCATAAATATTTATGAATGTTTATTTATAAATAAATATTAAATGAATTGTTTATTTAATATTCTCAGACCATGGTTGACCACAGGTACTGAAACTGGAAAACAAAACAGGAAAATGGGCGACTACTGTATTAATGAAAGTGATTGCTTCATAGCAAATATTGTTTTTAATATAAATA